TAAATATTTGTAAATAAATACACATATTTATATATTCATAAATACGTTTGTATGGGCTGTCAGTTTGATACAAGCGATCCGTACAGCCGGTGTGCCGCCGATGGTACGTCTTGCATCTAACGACGCATCGCAAATAACTAAAGTCCTAGACCATGGAGCTATGGGGGTTATCTGCCCCATGATCAACACAGCCGACGACTGCAAAGGTGAGATTGGAGTGTGTAAACGGCAGACGACGCTTGTCTGTTATTTCCATTTTTTTTTCACTTGCTGGTTATTGTAGACCTTTTTGTACCTACTGACATATTCATCTTTTTACGTGTCTGTGACTTTGGTTTGTGTGCCGTTTAATAGATTACTCATAGCTTAATCCTAAAACAACCGACCCACGTATGTCTCATACACGCGCAAGTATAGCGTCCAAATTAAGGACTCGCGTGTCCGTTCAAAGTTTTGTAGTATGCGACTGCGGGGTTTAATGTCCTTCCTACCATTGTCTCGTCGTCGCTTGCTGCATCGATGTCTGTGGTGTTTGTCACAACGTTCGTACGCAGTTGTCGAAGCGTTCTGCGCGGTAGACACTTAGTCAACGGTTGTTGACGGATAGTAAACGCATTGAAAGCACCAACACCTAGCAGCAGAGGGGGCCCTGTATCTGTAGTATAACGGATAGTAAACGCATTGAAAGAACCATCACCCAGCAGCAGAGGGGACCCTGTATCTGTAGTATGACGGATAGTAAACGGATTGAAAGCACCAACACCCAGCAGCAGAGGGGACCCTGGATCTGTAGTATGATGGATAGTAAACGTATTGAAAGCACCATCACCCAGCAGCAGAGGGGACCCTGTATCTGTAGTATGACGGATAGTAAACGCATTGAAAGCACGAACACTAGCAGCAGAGGGGACCCTGTATCTGTAGTATGACGGATAGTAAACGTATTGATAGCACCATCACCCAGCAGCAGTGGGGATCCTGGATCTGTAGTATATCACACTTGTCCGTGCGAGATGACATTCTTCTGAGTTCCTGCGTAGTGTGTCTTTGTACTTCATCCTTCTTAGCTTGGTACTCACTTGGCCCGACCTGTCGCATGGCCATCGGAGTTTGATAGTCCTACGCACGGTAGCTTCATCGCAAGGTCTGCTCTGACAACCCCAAGGACTGCAGGTCTTACCGGCACTTATCAATTAACTTGATCCGATGGGGCTAGAGGCTTGTTGTTATGCAGTACTTCCCAGGATTCACGCTGTTATCATGTCCCTACCCTACCCTCACCCTAACCCTAACCCTAACCCTAACCCTCACCCGGCCAACACCCACATCCACAGCGTTTGTGCAGAGTTGCCACTACCCGCCGCACGGGCACCGAAGTTTCGGGGCTGTTTTGGCCGGACATACAATCCCCAATTACCACAAGACCACGCGCGACAACATTGTAACCATGGCCATGATTGAGACCAAGGAAGGACTGCAGAATCTGGACGAGATCCTGAAAGTGGACAACTTGGATGGCGTGCTTATTGGTCCGTCAGATTTGGCTATGGCGCTGGGTGTAGATCCGGTATGGTATCTGGAGTCTGTCTGGAGCTTGTTGTTGTATATTGAGGGGTTGGTTCGAGATGATCGATGTTGGTAGCTGGTGCAGTATACTAACAACTTAGGGAGTATATTTAGTGCCCGTTGTGTCCATCCCTTTGTTTGCTTGCGATGACCTTATGTCGCGGACGCGCTAGCATCTCATCTCCTGAGACCTGAGACTACCTATCATTCACCTTTCTCGAAACTGTTGCTCGGAAGTCCCATGAAACCATTCTATAACAAGCCAATGCTATAGTCGACATCCCAACACCAAGTATTGAAACACTCCAGGTCTACACGTTGTTGTCGCTTGAGCCCTAGTGTGGTCAGGTTTTAAGGTTTAGGGTCTAGGGTTGAGAATGAATCATTGCGCTTACATGCGTGATGTATGGGCACGTCAGCGCAATTTACTTCCAAATTAAAGGACACTTTCCCCAGCTAACTCAATCTCAGAGATATTTATATCCCCTGACTGGAAACACATAGGCGTAAACTCTCAGTATTTGTCTACCCAACGGGATCATTCATCACCACTCAGCATATCATAAACGTGTATGCCAAGGTGTATATAAGCGGAGGTTGTTTTTGCGGCTATGTCTGCGATGCTCCTATGCCTCGGGACTAATCCGTTGTCCTGCCCTTTCCTTTTTTTTGCGTGCCCATAGGAAGCGAACCCTGAGAACCCGATTGTCCTGGACGCGATGGCTAAAGTAGTGCACAAGACTAGAGCTGCTGGCAAGAGGTATGCCGTAGTGTGATCCGCCATCTAACCTTGACCCTACGGCCCAGGTTTCAGGGCCAAGTACATAGTGATACCATGCGCTGTCTACGCCGAATATAGCACTAGGTCGGCATTCTGCAGCTGCACTGAGTGGGATTTAGCTTTCGCTTAGCATCTCGATTCACCAGGTTATCAACCGCCCAAGGGGCCTATGCCGTGTGGGGTTGGTTGTGTGTGCCACTGTTTCTCAGCTAACCCGTGTTTGTGTCTCTTTTGATAGGTGCGCTGTGTACTGTGGGAATGGCGGATATGGCAGAAACATGGTTGATATGGGCTTTGACTTCGTGGCCCCGGGTGCGGATATAGGCCATCTACTGGAAACACTGAGAGAGCAGGTATGTTTGTGGGTGCAAATGTAGTCCAAATACTGGTACAAATGCAAAAAATGTGTGCTAGGATGATATTGTAAGACATTAACTGGTCCTATAAACGGATGGGTATGTTGTATGTGCAGATACAGACCACTCCTTCCTTTCAAAAAGGATTTGGTAAGGCTTGGGGTATAGATATAGGCCACACACTGATGGAGATAAATAGTCAAGGAGTGGTTGCATATGTGGACTTTAACTACATGCATTGTTATGTGAACAGGAGTATTAAAAACTCGAACGGGTGTGGCGAACCAATGCCCATACAACACCGAGCATACTCGAAACATCTCGTAGAGCTTACAGGACTCCTTATGAGAAAATAACACTAACTGTCAGATGGGATTACGAGCCTGGGCATCAAGTAGCATTACTTGATTTTGTCATGTACTTGCATTTAATACGATAATCAATATGGCAAGCTTCCTTGCGACATTGAAGCGCTGTTGAATGTGGCCTATACTGTGATAACGCTGATATCATAAACCGGTACTATACATGAGACTCCAACAAGTCCTCAGAGAAATCACTGAGATGAACCCTACCAGCTCACCAGGCGATATACATGTGCACACTTGTATACCTGTGCTATAGTACAATCACAGGCACCACGCCTTAAGCCAACAGAGAGCAGCCAAGCCGTACAGCTAGTCTCTGCTTTCTCAGTGCTGCACTGTCACTTTTTATCTGCAGCTGGACGACCTCACACACGGCAGACAAAACCTGTATCGACTGTAGTGCCCGCAGGCAAAACCTGTATCGACTGTAGTGCCCGCAGGCAAAACCTGTATCGACTGTAGTGCCCGCAGGCAAAACCTGTATCGACTGTAGTGCCCGCAGACAAAACCTGTATCGACTTTAGTGCCCGCAGGCAAAACCTGTATCGACTGTAGTGCCGTAGGCATGGCAATAAAGACCATCACAGATCTCCACAATCAGAACGCACTCGCGTGGCAAATAGTTAGGTATACCTTGTTAAATGACTACGATATAGCCCCGATATGATATATATATATATATATAATGAAACTAGTATGGATTGTTTTGCCTGCGCTCTTTTAGCCTACATGATTAGATCACCGCTGCATTGGGATAGGCAGGCAAGACCAGAGGAACTCGGTGCTTTATACAGTACGATGGTGCGGCTGAATACATCTCTACGGTATTTGGAGCCCATATTCAATAACAAGCTACACAGGGTCAGCACTTCAGGTTGCTTCATTGTTTTCATGCATACAAAGTATAATTGACATGATAGTAGCTGCAATCACCACGTTCGAATTGTGGCTGAACGCCGAATAGCCCGCAAATACGAGAAACACGACAATAACAGTCTATA